ATATATATATATATATATATATATAATGTTTTTTTTTTTTTTTTATGTGTGTGTGTGTGTGTGTGTGTGGGTAGGGGGGTGTGGGTGGGTGTGTGTGTGTGTGTGTATGTATATATATACTGCAAGTTGTTGCCACAAGATGAAAAAGAATCCATCCAGTTGGACATAGCAACAATTCTCACTATTGGTGGCTAAATGAAGTGTCATAAGGCAATGAATGAGGCATTCTTCATTCATGGTTCTCTAGTGACATCTGGTGCCTCACTGAAACTGGTAAGGTTTGTCATTCTGAGGAGGAAGGGAGCCACGAAAGGAGATGGATGCCATGGCTCAGTGCCAAATGGTGCAGCACACCACATGCCTTGATGATTTTGCACACCTTCCTCAGATGATATGAGGCCAATAGCACAATACACGGCTAAACATGCATGGGAGTGAGCTGTATTAAAGTGCACCTCTTCTATACTCTGATGGTTTGAAAAGGAGGTTAGAATTGAACACCTGGGGGCTAACCCACGTTCCCCTGCAGATTATAGTGGAAGAGTACATCAGTACTTGTGTTGTGTTTCCCAGCTTGCCACTATATTTATCAGATATGTTGTTGTCATATATGAAGGGGTATCAGAAGCATTTCTGTTGTGGGAGTGATACATCAGCTGCGGTAAAAATGACAAACGTACAACTCATGACATGCATGCAGCTTTTCTCTTCCTTCTCTACGACTCACTCTGACTTTGGTCTTACTACTGTTCTCAATTTAACGGCAGTTTGTGGAGTATTTTATTTTGAAAAAAAAAAAATCAATTTCCACTTCCGTTCAACTTCCTTACAGAAAAGATGTTTTGCACAAGACTAAAGTTTAATCATCTCTATTGCAATTACTTTAATTGAAGTACTAGCAATAGAAGTGCTTAACCAGACAGGCTTTTTTTGTACAGTTACTAATATTTCCCACCTCACCATCTGCATCACCAGTTTCTGCTGTCTCCAAAGCAAAACTTTCTGTGAGGATCTGCACATTCTCCCCTTAAGTTTTTTTTTTTTTTTTTTTTTTACAGAGCACAACTTTTGCACAGAAAATGACAGGTGGCAGTTTCAGGTCCTGTTTTGTCCTGCCACATTTTAAAATGAGACCCCTGATCTTTGAACCTACATTTTTAATCAGACACAATGCCCAAAGCATCAGTACTATTTATCATGATGTGTATGCCAAGTTTTCAGCTAAACACTCTTTGGAGCTAACATATTATACTCTGTCGAATGTTTATCCTTGGTATTTTTTAAAGAAATAGGTTATGGATTACCATTATGTATTGTTTATGTTTTGGGGGTTTTCCTCTGCCTCATTAACTCATAGGGCAGACACATTAAAATTATTTATCTGGAATAACCAAGCAATGGACTGATGAAGAATAGGGAAAAGAACAGTTCAAAGAGAAACTACCAAACTGTATAGTAAAAATAGTATTATAGTTTGACCTGTCTATATAAAAGTTAAAAGAACAACAAAATAATCTAAAAATATATAACAGTAAAGATTATTACAAGTCAAATCTGCTTATCAGATTTTGTGATTCACAGGCACTACAAATTTCTTGTTAAATATTTTAGTTGTAACAAGCTGACATTCCTAATTTATTATTATTAACGTGCTTACGATGTATGACATCAGCAATTATATACACTGCTCAAAAAAATAAAGGGAACACTCAAATAACACATCCTAGATCTGGATGAATGAAATATTCTCATTGAATACTTTGTTCTGTACAAAGTTAAATGTGCTGACAACAAAATCACACAAAAATCATCAATGGAAATCAAATTTATTAACCAATGGAGGCCTGGATTTGGAGCCACACACAAAATTAAAGTGAAATGTTCCCTTTATTTTTTTGAGCAGTATATGTGTATGTAAATCATCTATCTACTATGTCATTGCTGTTTATAGTAGCATTTCTTAACTGTGGTCCCAGAAAGAAAAAATAAACACAACCCAGAGCTTCATGCCCGCTTTTAGTGTTAGGTAATTTTTTGTTAGGTATTTTTATTAGCTTTTAGGATTGAAATGGGTTGCATTTTCCCGTTTGTAATTGAGGAAAATGCTTATATCCTGTGGCCAAATGTGGCCAAATGGTACATTTTATCAAGTTATTTAGAGAAATAAATGCTCAAACAATGGTTTGTAATCAAAAACACGATCCAATTTCGGGACCTGAACGCTCCACACGCATGCGCATGGGCAATGTTTGCTTTCCTACCGTTGCTGCTGCTTCTAGAGCTCACCGGCAATGATACAGCAAACACGGACGGACGCTGAAAACTGCGCTGACATGGACTCACCCAGCAATTTCTACCATTACAAAGACGGATATTGCCCAGACTCTATGTTCTGCTAACTGGAAACGGCTTGTGTAACCGACTCGGGATTATTTTTCTTTCCATTTTGACGAGACTAGTCGGCTCCCGGAGGAAGGGAATAGATGCGAAGGTTTTCCTGCGACACACGGCAGGCTAACAGACTCTTCTCAAAGGACAACTAAAAATATGAAATATTATTATTTTGAATTTGCTTAATTGCCTCATGTATATTAGTTAAATGTTTGAATATAGGAGCTAAATGGAGATACAAAGTTCAGGAGGCGCTAATGGCTGCTAGCTAGCTACCAGTCGTCGCTTTTTTATTTTAGTTGCAGCATTTAAAGACTGGTTTTAATTTAAAATGATGGATCGATGCGTGTTTTGGCAGGAGGAAGTGCATATTCACCGTAGAGCCTATTTTTGAACGTCTTCCTAAAATTGTATTTTATTATAAAGGACGTAAATCATATGACTTGTCACATAAGGCTGTTTAGTATCGCCTGACAACCCCTCTACTTCACTGGCCTCACTGCAAACATGCACCATCAGGACTACACCGGGGACCCCCCGGGGACTGCCACCCGCAAAGCCGCTTTCCATTACCGGAGAGGCAGCAGCAGCGCGTCCGGATCTCCCTCCTCTTCTGTCGGAGGTAACCTCTCTGAGGAGAGCCCGAGCCCGGCGCAGGCTGGATCCTCTTCCCCGGCTCTTCAAGCGCTGGGAGCTCAGGTGAAGAAGAAGAGCGGCTTCCAGATAACCAGCGTCACCTCGGCCCAGATCAACGTCAGCGGGAACAACAGTCTGGCTGATGACACGGAGAGCTATGATGACATGGACGAGTCCCACACAGAGGACCTGTCCTCCTCTGAGATGCTGGATGTGTCCGCATCCAGGCCTGCAGACACGGGAGTCCCGGAGAGGAGCTCCTCAGATGAGACCTTGAACAGTCTCCATGGGGTGGACACTCCCGGACTGGTGTCCCCTAATGAACCTCTGCAGCTGCATCACGTGACTCAGGGGTCCTCCTTGGTGAATGGGTCTGTGCATCATCAATACTACCCACAGCAGGCCCACCATCACCAGTCTGACCTAGCGCTACCAACTCTTCCCGTTGCGCCAGTAGCCAGCTCCAGTCCAGCTATGGTCCAGAGGCCGCTGGTGTATGAAAACCCCAAACCTGCTGGAGCTTCAGCTCCTGCTACTAATATCCAAAACGTTGTGAAACCTTGTAATGTTTCTGCCGCTGGTTCTGACAACACCGCTGCAAGCGGGCAGGTGGCCCAGCCCAGCCACAGCCAGGCGGCCCCTGGCTCCCGTTTTAGGGTCGTGAAACTAGACACGAACTCGGAGCCCTTTCGCAAAGGAAGATGGACGTGCACAGAGTATTACGAAAAGGAGGTCGCTCACCCAGCTCCGCCTGAGGCAGCCAGAACCATAGACGTGGCTGTAGAGGCTGAGGGGGGAAATGCCGGGCCGAGTCCAGCTGTTCCCGCCATGCTGCAGCCGTACCACCCTTCCACCCAGGACTTCACCAGTTCACAGGTGGTGACGCAGCCTACTGCCCAGAGCTATATTTCCCCCAAAGAGGTTGCCGGGACGACGTACATGCAGAAACCTGCAGCTGTGTCTCAGCCTCCTCCTGCAATACCCCAGCCATTTCCCTATGCTGTGGATCCACAACCGCAGGGAGGTTACCCCACATCCCAGCTCCACACAGGAGTGATCGCACCCTCAGGAGGGGTCAGACAACCTGACTTCATCCAGCCAACCGCTCCCTTTCAGACACAAGTTCAGCCGCCGCTTCCACATGTGAATCCTGGGATCTCTGCTCCAGTTCCAGGAATCCCACTGCAGCATCCCATCAGTATCACTCCAATTCCGGGTCAGGCTGCCGTGCCGACCCCCGCGGCTTTTACTTCTCTTCAGCCTCAACCCCACCCTCTGCCAAAAACACAACTCCAGCACCCGGTGGCCCTCCAAGGCACCCCGTACAAGCCGCTGACCGCCCTGCAAGCCGACCTGCAGCCGCTGCTCACCCTCGGGGCAAACCTTGCTCATGTTCCTGGAGGAGGAAGCATGGCCAAAAACACAGAGCTGGAGAACGCCCAGAAGCTCTTGATTCAGCACCAGGGTCTGCTGGGTCTGCCCAGGCTGGGGGCAGCCGAGGGAGCCGCCGAGGGCCACATGGGCATGTCGGTGGAAGCTAGAGCTTTCATGGCTGCTGCTGGCTTCAGGAGCCAGCATGCAGAGGGAGAGGATGACAGGTGAGAGAACAGTCTTGTTTTTAATCACATGTTGGGCTTATTTTACATTTAATCCAGAGTCATTTGCCTGCAGTTCTCTGTTCAGGGTCAGAGTGCTGGCCTGGTCAGACCCCCCATCTGTCGCAGCTTTCTCTCAGAGTCACAGTTTGTGTCTCTTTCAGGTTCAAGCTGTTCCACCGCAGGGAAATAGTGAGTCTTTGTGTTTATTTCCATATGTTCCTGCAGGCTCTTAAGTAGTTATGTAGGTGAGGGAAATCTGTGAGAAGGCAGGACCGCTCTTACCGGGTTGGTTCCCTGGAGAAAAGCTGTCAGAGACGCCACAAGTTGTTTCTCTGGTTGTAAACCTCCTGCGTCCGGTTGAACAGGAGATTTGCACTCTTTAACTTTGCAAAGATAAAGCGTGCAACTGAAGGCTTAAAGTTGATTGAATGTGCTGCAGAGAGAGCATGTTTGCATGTGGACAGGCGTTTGTCCCATGTTTGTGGACATGAATCAGCCTCTATCCTGCTGCAGACAGTCTCAGACTGACTGTCCGCTTTGTTTATGGTCATGTTGTCTTACTGTTTTATTGTTTCTGTAAAAAGAGGGGCTTCATTTCCATCCTCTTTTTACAGAAAAAATTCCACCCATGCATGAACACAGTCCTGTCTTTTTTCGTGTTGCGTCCACAAGCGTTAATATATTTTATTTTGATTTTTATATGAAAGAAATGAATACAAATTTGCTATGTATTTATGTTCTGCTTTGGGAAAACAAGCTCAGAACCAGTTTTTGCTGAAATTGCAGCTGCAAGTCTTTTGGGGTGTGTTTTATTAAAGCATTAAATGCAAAAAGGAGGTTGTCAAGTTACAAGGAAACTATATATAAGTAGTTTTATTGCTGTTAAAGAAAACCTTGTTCAGATTGAAAGATTTTATTTCCAGTTGCTGCTTAGCTTTCTTATTCTCTGACTTGCTTAGTCATATGACTGTAACAATATCTACCAATATTCTCACGTCATATTTCCTTATAATCATACAAGCCCATTTTAAAGACTAAATTTCATCTTCTTTTCTGTGAAAAGTTGTTCCAACTCTGTGAACAAACGTGTCTGTTGGCTTCAAGTCTACAAAATGTGCACTGATTGCAGTTTTCCAGCTTATCACCTGTGTTTAAAAAGCCTGACCAATTCCAAATTCAGCAGACACAATTTTCTCTATCTGAAAAGTGGATAATTGTACTGACGAAGCCCCTTTTTGCTCCCACACCAGAGCAAATGACATTTGCAGATCAGTTTTTCATGTATTGTCTCCAAAAATTAAGGAAATTGTAACTAATATATTGGTTCACACATTAATATCTATTGTGACTTTTGTTTGTTATGCAGGAAGGTGAACTTCTATCTCAGTCTAGTGCAGACTGTAGTGGCTTTCCCCCCTTGTTTTTATTTCTGTTCCTCTTGCTATCAGCTTCCCTGTCTCTGCTGATGAAAACTGATATGCTACCAGCACTGTGTGTCACAGGATGGAGTATTCAGGGGAATGTGTCAGTTTTCTTCCACAAGTGGCATTTTGCATGAGCTCAACAAGTTTAGCTCTGGTCTCAAGGCATTGTACACTGATCCTTACATATACAAAGACTTTAAATAGGCAAGCATATTTAAAATGAGTACAACTCCAAAAATAAAGCTATAAAATAACATAGCTTTACTAATAATTTTGTTCCCCTGAGATTTGATCCATTTGTAAAATATCAATTGATTTAATGATCAATGCAAGTGACAGAAAATTATTAAATGGTGTTACTTGTGCTACATTTCAATAAAAAAATATGTTGCTACTTGTTTTAGTTTAAATAACCATAAGTGGACTCACTTCTGCTACGGCGCTAATAACGAAGCAAATTATTTATTTAGCGCATTTGCTGAAAATGTTTAGCACACTTAGATTTCCTTAAACAGATTTTTCTGGGTAAAGTTTTAGTCATCAGCTGTTAAGAATTCTTCAACTAGTTATACAATTATATTCATGCTCTTATTTTGAAATGGAAGATAACTGTTTAAGGAGCAGTTCCGTTTCCCCTGTCTCCTCCCACCCTACTTCATTTGAAAGAAGAAACATACAGGAACAAAGTAAAACACAAATAATAGAGAACATGTAAACATAAATGCAATATCTATGGTCATTATAGAACATGTACATTTATAATGTCAAAATTAAAAATTGATTCTAGATTGTTTTCTATCAAGGCAGTTATAATTTTAATTAGCACTTTAACAATAACTTGTGCTACACACTGTGTTGGTATAGTGCTTTAACCCAAGCATAACTTATTTTTTTTTTTGTTAGTGGCACCCACCACCATAGATAACATTGGACAAATATACATTAAGTACATTGATCAATAATTATTTAAATATTTCAATATTGTACAGGACATCTAATTAAATAATAAAATATAAAGCTTGTTAATTTAATTAAAGATGGCAGCTTATTATTTCATGAGCAGTAATACAAGAAATGTCAAATACAGTGTATTTGAGTTTCACAGGTTGCCACTGGTTAGCTTTTCTACTCCTCCATGACCACATCACGGAGCTGGTGGATATTCGACACTTTGCGCTTCTTCACCTTCCGCTTAAGGATGCCCCAAAGATGTTCTATTGGGTTTAGGTCTGGAGACATGCTTGGCCAGTCCATTATCTTTACCCTCAGCCTCTTCATTAAAGCAATGGTCATCTTAGAAGTGTGTTTGGGGGCATTATCATGCTGGAACACTGCCCTGTGATCCAGTTTCCAGAGGGAGGGGATCACTCTCTGCTTCAGTATTTCACGGTACAGATTGGAGTTCATGAAATGCAACTCCCCAACACCTGCTGCACTCATGCAGCCCCAGACCATGGCATTCCCACCACAATGCTTGACTGTAGGCATCACACACTTATCTTTGTACTCCTCACCTGATGGCTGCCACACATGCTTGAGACCATCTGAACCAAAAACACTCATCTTGGTCTCGTCAGACCATAGGATCTGGTTCCAGGAATCCATGTCCTTTGTTGACATGTCTTCAGCAAACTGCAGGCTTTCTTGTGTGCAGACTTCAGAAGAGGCTTCCTGCTGGGGTGACAGCCATGCAGACTAAACTGATGTAGTGTGCAGCGTATGGTCTGAGAACTGACAGGCTGACCCTCCACCTCTTTAATCTCTACAGCAATGCTGACAGCACTCCTGCAGCTATCTTTCAAATACAGCATTTGGATGTAAGGCTGAGCACGTGCACTGAGCTTCTTTGAATGACCAACGCGAAGTCTGTTCTGAGTGGACCTCCCTCTTTCAGAAAGTTGAATTATCTTGGCCACTGTGCTGCAGCTCAGTTTCAGTCCTCTTGTAGCCTTGGCCATTTTCTTTTAAGATCTCCAGAGAGTTCTTTGCCATGAGGTGCTATGTTGGAACTTTCAGTGAGAGAGTGTGAGAGCTGTACTAAAAATTTAACACACCTACTCCCTATGCACACCTTAGACCAGTGGTTCTTAACCTGGGTTCGATCGAACCCCAGGGGTTCGGCGGAGCCTCTGCCACGGAGGTAAAGACACACTGTGTAAAGTCATGATGACGCCCCGCTTTGCCATCACTTGCTGCAGAGGATCACGTTACATTGCTGAGCCAATCAGTGCTGTGGAGGAGCACTGATTGAAGGAGTTCCATTCTCAGCATGGATTTGAACTTGTCTTTAATTACTTCAGCAAAACTCACCGTTTTTACCAAATTCTGTAGCTTTCGGTGTACTTCTAAATCTGCTCCGTAGTCGCATCTTTTCGGGCCTGCTACTGCCTCTAGTGGCGTGGAGGTGGTAGTACAACTAATATAATTACATTACTAAATCAGAATACCGCAAAGTCTTTATTATTTATTATACATTTTTCATTCTCTTAAGAATGTAGAGCTAATTAAATGATCTAAACAAGACCTTAAAGTGGTTCCAGTTTCTCTCGAAGGCCAACCTGTTGAAACTGTGGCTAATTTTAAATACCTTGGGTCGTTCCTGGACAGTCAGCTCAACTTTGCTAAAAACACTGACTGTATTTTGAAGAACTGTTCTCAGAGACTCTACCTTTTAAGAAGACTTGGTGATCTTGTCTATGTCTTGAATTTGGGGTTTAAAAAATCATATTTTATTTATCATTACAGAAGGGTTCAGCGAGCGTGCATATGATACTGGTGGGTTCGGTACCTCAAAAAAGGTTAAGAACCACTGCCTTAGACTTATAAGACTAACTAGTCACATGACATTTTGGAGGGAAAATGACAAGTAGTTACTCAATTTGGACATTTAGGGAGTAGTCTTTTAGGGGTGTACTCACTTTTGTTTCTGGTGGTTTAGACATTAATGGCTGTATATAATTATTTTGAGGGAAGAATAAATTTACGCTGTTAAATAAGCTGCACACAGACTACTTTTCATTGTGTTAAAGTGTCAATTTGTCCTATGTAAAGATATACTTCAATATCTTCAGAAATGTGAGGGGTGTACTCTCTTTTGTGATACACTGTAATTATGATTTTCAGCACAGTTTTAGATTTAGGTTGAGGATTTCAACCATTTTACATTTGTGTATTTTTATATTATTTTATTGATAATATAAATGTGTAATTGATTTATTTAAATTAAATTTCAACTATCACATATAGATATTGATTTGAATTGCATAATGGATTCAAATTTTTAAAATTGATTTCTGACATGGAAAGAGCAGTCCAGAAAAATCTCGGCGTACTTTAATTATTGATTAAGTTATTCTATTTCCATCCACATTAAATTGCAATGCAATTTAGTTCTTTCAAATTCAAAATACCTGTACTTGATATGAGAATCAGAAATGCTTCTTAAAATAATTGTTTCAAAAATGACTAATCATTGTAGAATCATTGTAGGTTATGGAATTATTTTTCAAGTGTTGAAGAGTTTAAGTGACTACAAACTTGTATTAATGTTGTGATGGTATGTAGTGGTATTAATAA